GTGTTGCCGAGATTTACTCAATACCTTCACGCCGAAAACCGTGGTACTCTGGTACTGTATGTAGAACGGGCTACTAGAAAGGTGCGTGAAACTCCTTCATGCACCTCTCTAGCCGCATGTTAAATTTTAACATGTGAATAATTAATGGCATTATGATGATGACAGGCAGTGGTTTTACAAGTGTTTTACATTCCTGTAAAGCCACTAACACGCGTAGCGTTGAAGTAGTCAGTTGACAAAAGCATGTTTCAAGCGCGTATCACTATTTATTAACAGCATAAACGGTGAGGGGGTTTTAGGAACCATTGGTATGAAGCACTGCCAATAGCTCGTGCTACTTGTAACGGGTAACTACACACATCAGCAGGATATAACTGTATAAACTTCAGAGTGCGGGGTGTGGGGCCAGGATCAGCACCCGCACAACTAGAGCTGGAAATGTCAGGATACAAGGACGTTAGAGGAGGGGTGGTCGGCCGCCAGCACTGGACAGTCGTAGTACTTCCCAACCTACAAATATTTCCCAAGGTATACTACGCTAGTGTGACCATCATGGTGGCGTCAGAGATGCCACTATGCCTCTCTTTTTGTAGGAGAGGCAAAAACACGTAGACAAAAACAGCTGGGATTTTTTTTTAATTTTGCCCCGAGGGGCGAGTTTATTGGGCAGCGCCACTCATCTTGTAAGAACAGCTGGGATGTTATAGAGACGTAATGCTAGAGATGTGGAGACACATGATGTGGAGATGTGACGCTGAAGGAGAGAACAAATTAGTGAGACCTCTCATATACTGACGTTCTTAGACTTGGACGTCACAAGACTGCAGCAGCAGCACCAACCTTGCTCCTCCTCACTGCTCATGCCGACACGGTCTCAGTGACCCACATATTGTGACCACAAAATACATTACCACTTAAGTTGTACAAACGCTGCAAATTCTCCAATACTCTTACATCAACAGTGACGTAGACACACGACCTCAGACTGGCGCACACACACACTACTAAGCGACATGGTCTATAGCAGGTCCAGGGCGTCAAGGTGAGCAGGGCCGCCAACTGCGGTACTGGCTAGCGTGTTCCTTGCTAGGCTTGTCTTTTTCCACACTAAGACTAGTAGGGTTCATTAGCAATTGTGCTGATGTTCCCTATGAAACTGTAAGCTCTTATCATGCTCTTGTCCCTCTTTCCCATTGTCTGTGGTTTGTAATGCCCTTTTCAAGGAGTTGGTGGATACTGCGATCGGTTATCTTAATTTTGTTCTTGAAAATTACAAGTGGTGTTTACAACTTTTTATTTTTCCTTTATTTAATTAAGAGGAATTAGTGATTTTAGGGTTACTCTTTCTAAAACAGCTGATTTTTATAACATCGGCCAGCAATAGTCCTATTTTGTATGTGGCGTTATTTTTATAGGTAACAAAATTTATTATAGTACACCCACACGTCGCCTCATACTCTCACCAGCTTATACCCACATGTCGCCTCATACTCTCACCAGCTTACACCCACACGTCGCCTCATACTCTCACCAGCTTATACCCACATGTCGCCTCATACTCTCACCAGCTTACACCCACACGTCGCCTCATACTCTCACCAGCTTATACCCATATGTCGCCTCATACTCTCACCAGCTTACACCCACACGTCGCCTCATACTCTCACCAGCTTATACCCACAAATATTTTTTCACCCTGTCATTTACCCTTAACCTATGTAGAATCGGAAAAATATATTATAAAATATAGTGTAATGGTAGTAGACTATCTAATTTACCTGCCGTAAATTCATTCAAATTTACTTTCCCGTCTCTTTCCCAATATATTACTTTAATTAAGTAATTGAATTAGTTCGTACCGAGCTGAAACCTTCTCCCGCTGTATACTAGTATCTACAAACTGACCAGCTCCTCCATGTTATTCAGTTAAGAGTGGAACAACACTATTCGGGCTGATCTATGGTAGTGTAATAGGACAGCTTGTATCCGTAGACTCCCTTAACCATAGATTGTTACTCTCTAGTCATGTGTGACTAACCATCCTGCGAGATGGGGTCTTTCAGTATCACTGCTGCCTTATTCACTCTTGTGTTGATGATAATATCCTCATAATGCACTCAGAGTTTGCCAATGCAGGCTACCTATCACGTGCCTCTGTATGACTAACCATCTTTTGTGATGGGGAATTTTAGTATCACGTAACATCACTTTTTGATACACTGTATTCCCCTTTATATAGTCTAGGGTAACTGCACAAATGAAGATGTACCTAAATGTGCTAATAAAAAAGTCTCTAGTCAATCTTCTTTAGTTCGTTGCAATTTTTCTGATTAGAATCGACAAGTTATCCCTGCCGATCTCTGGATTATCACGCGGAAATCAGGGCCTCTGTTATCCTGCTCGACACAGTCTACACGACTATATTCTGATCATTCACCCACCACAACGTTACCACACTGACCTGACGGTTCTCCTATCCTCTTAACAAGGAAACAGGTAATTAAATTCTACACTATAAATCTAACAATAATTACACATGCGTATGAGTGAGGAAATTTGTTGTCTGCACGACAAATACCAGAGCAAATTAAAAATGTTAGACACGGCATTTCGTAACGGGATTTGTTATCGCTTATCAGTGAACAACATTTTAAGTCGCCGAGTTCAGTATCCTGTCACGTATTGTGAATACATAACTTTGATAAGATGGTTACTCTTGAATGTTCTCAAATCAGGTTGAGGCATCACTGTCATATTATACACTCGTGAAATGTTGTCTTTACCACAGTTAATGTTAGCCATGTAAGGCGCTCTACGTCATCTGCCGCCCGTCCTACCACTGTAAGATATATTGTGTCGGGGCAGGATAGCAGTCTTGATGTAATGTTGTTCGTGATTTATAGCGGACATTGCCCTCCACTACCTCATCCTCTTAGCTCATTACACTTGGGCTCACGTGTGCTAGTTAGCGGCTATATGTCCTCTCGCTCTACTCCCATTAGCAGTAAATGGATGTTACGTCTGCTGCGTCATATCCTCCCTTTCGTCATTCTAATGATGAAAGGTTTCCTTCCTTTGGAGCCCAGCTCTCTTGATTCTAGTAAGTCTTCCGGTCATTCTCTTGATCTTTTCGACTTTCATCTTGTTGCTTGTTGATTATGCAGATTTTATTGCATACTTTAGTGCAAGTTGGACATAGGTGCTGTAATTTGAATAATTCCTTGCTCAGATTTCTGAAGGTTATCTTAAGTCTGCTAGTCTCTTGTAAGTTATTGATGTTATTTATGTGCTCTTCTGGAGTGATGTCCATCTCTTAGGTTATTTTGTCCCCAAATGAGGTATTTGTTTGTCCCTCAGGCTGTAATGTTTCCCAGGTGTCTTCTTATCCTCACCATCTTTTGTGTTGACCTGTTTTGAAGCTCAAGTACTTCTGTAGTAGTTTGCAGCCTTCAGGTGTCATCCTCCACATGATCTTAGCACCACCTGCAGTCACGGGTCCTACGACTGACCACTGTGGAACCCCACTTGTTACCTCCAGCCTCACTCCCCCCCCCCCCCCTTCCTGTGACACTTCTCTGCCTGACAGTTACTCACATATTGTATTACATAGAACAATGTGAAAGGGGGGGGGATGGATTCAGTGATGCAGGAAGACAGTGGTGGTGACAGCATACACGTGGACGTAAACTATATAAACGTGAATGAAATATGTCAGCGGAGAGAGAGATGTACGGTGCAACCCACAATAGAGTATGCAGGCGATGAGTCACAATAACGTGGCTAAGGTATAATGACCAGACCACACACTAGAATGTGAAGGAACGACGACGTTTCGGTCCTTCACATTCTAGTGTGTGGTCTTGTCATCACAATAGAGTACTAACATTTCATTTACTTAGATCAACGGGGAATCCTAACTCCGGTTCAAAAGTGCATCCGGTTGGTAGGACAACGGTTTCGTATTTTTGAGGCCCGAGCTCGAATCTGTGATCCAAATAAATGTATTTAGAGATGAGTCCATTAGTAACTCATGTGTTCTGCCTGTTAGGGACGCCATATTAAATGTGCAACAAGTCACGGCGTGCCAAGTGTAACACGCCTTATGTCGAAAACACGGGAGAACCAGGTGGGAGTCGGGTGTGTGGGAGTGAGGGAGGCGGTATAGACGGGATGTGACCTCCCGCACGCTGTCTGGACGCCTTCCATCGCCGACAGACGGCAGCAGCTGCTCCATACCAAACTCCTGCTCTGACTTTCAGAGGATCTGGCCATTCATTCTAGTTTGTGGCAGCTTTTGTGGAAAGCTTTTGTTTTTTAGCTTGTGGAAACTTTCTAACCTCACGTGTTCTTTTATAGACTTGGACATAGTCCTGTGGTGACAAGGCGGTTGTTTCCCTTATGTGTGTGGTCCGTCTCGATTATTTAGAATATAATTAAACTAAGTATTATATGCTATTATTGGGACTTTCTCTTATGTAAATAGGGTACTGAGATTTTGTGTATGTTAACTGAACTGTAAATGTACAACCATTTATAAATCAATTTTTTTTTGTGATTTAACCTGTCACTTGATCCCATTTCCATCACCTTATACTTGTGCGTGCGTGCTCGTGCGAACACTTTTACCAAGGTGACCTTGAGCGCTTGTCTTGACTAGGTGAATAGTGATGCGCTGGACCTCCTTATATCAATAGAGCGGCAAAGTTGCAATAGAGGAAAAACAGGTTTCCAGTAAGGAACACGTACACACACACACACACCTGACTGTGACAGGAGAGAATGACATATGGGCCTCTAGAAGTGCTCTGGCATAACACCCCCATAAGGCATAGATGTAGTAGAGGCCAAAAACAGAGTTACATCCCCGCTCCTGTGCCAGGTAAGTCCATTACGGGCTCACCATAGCCCGTGCTACTTGGAACCTTTTGTCCCGAGGGGCTGAATGTAAAACAATAATAATAATAGAAGCGGTGAGAGTAACATCCCATGTTCTGTTGCAGCTGATGGGCCAGAAGGAGTGCCTGGAGAGGATCTGCAAGCTGGTCCAAGATGCCAAGGAGATGGCTGGAGTCTCCCAGGACACCATCCTCGAGGGTCTGGTGAGTACCTTCTGCTGGACACACAGGTGAAGTAGGCTCACGTTGGGGGGGGGGTCACACGGGGAAGGGGGGAGGGACACACGGGGTGAAAGGCCACACGCAGGGAGGGCCACACGTAGGAAGGGCCACACGCAGGGAGCAAACATTGGTCAGAAGAGCAAACATAGTGCCAACGACTGGCTAGTTACTATGGCTGCACCAGCCATAGTAACTGGAGCATGGTGTGCACCACTCGTCAAGATTCCTTGACGTCTCCCTCCTAATTTGGGCAGTGCTCGAGTTGACATATTTTGTATTAGTTTGGCATAGTCTGTGCTGGAATAATACCAACTGTTCAAAACACCATTATTGCTTTGTTCACGAACACACACCTAGCAGTAAATGGGTACCTGGGAGTTACAGCTGCTACGGGCTCCCTCATGGGTGGGGGTGGGGGTGTTAGAAAGAAATATATGTAGTAGATATAAAAGAGGAAAAAATGATTTGTTAGAAAGCCGGGGGTCCAAGAGCTAAAAGCTCGATTCTGCAGGCACAAATATTAAACACACACACACACACACACACACACACACACACACACACACACACACACACACACACACACACACACACACACACACACACACACACACACGAATGCATTAGGCAGTGATGTGGTGGAGGTTGACTCCATACACAGTTTCAAATGTAGATATGATAGAGCCCAGTAGGCTCAGGAATCTGTACATCAGTTGATTGACAGTTGAGAGGCAGGACCAAAGAGCCAGAGCTCAACCCCCCCGCAAGCACAATTAGGCGAGTACACACACACACACACACACACACACACACACACACACACACACACACACACACACACACACACACACACACACACAAACACACACACGAGAGAGGCCATGTATGTCTGCACAGTCATCACACCGCTGATACTTTCACCAGAAGAATGACGTGAATTCAATCGAAAATAAACTATCGTCCTGTTATTGATGTGTGTTGAGATTTGTTTAGCAAATGTTATTTATAACTTTGTAATAATAGCAACACTAATACAATGTCCCTGTCTAGCTGGATAAACTATCGGCATCGTTCAGTACAAATAAACAAGATCAGGAATTGAAAAGTGTGTGTTGTGTGAGCCAGGATAGTGTCATGTGTATTGTGTGGGGTTTGCTGTGATGGGTTATCCCGCCCCGTCTACACCCACCTCGCCTGCCGACGGCCCGCTCCTCCAGTCTCTTCAGGTTAACGGTCCCGCCTACACAGGCAGGCAACCCATATGGCACTAGTAATTTTGTTCTAGATGTGTTGCTTACTAAGTGCCCTTTCAGAGCTAGTTAAGGGGTCTCTGTATTTACCCTTGTGTTTGACACGAGAGTTCGGCTCCCAAAGACCTTTCGGCTCGCACTATTGTTTATGAGTCTCGGGCATTTGGGCAAGTCTCCTTACACCTGATACACCTGTTCTAGTAGTAAATAGGTACTTGGGAGTTTGTCATCTGTTGGGAATTACATCCGGGGTATAATGGCCAGTCGTTGACTATGGGGACATCGATGAGTCTAACAGGCTTCCCGTTCCCGATAATGCGACACTTGTAATGTACATGTTGCATACCTTGAGGTGCTTCCGGGGCTTAGCGTCCCCGCGGCCCGGTCGTCGACCAGGCCTCCTTGGATCTCCTCCTTGGATCTATTACTTGGATGCATACTTGGATCTATTTTGCAGCTTTGTCAGGAAATTATTTAAAGTGTGGAGATATTGGGCCTTGGTGCAGCCCGCCCCGATAGTTTACAGAATACGATTTACCTTTCTCAGCGGCGCTCACCAATAGTGGACAAGTTACCCGTGCCGTAGGTGGTGATGGGGAGGGGTGCCCCTCCTGCCCCAACACTTACCTCACTCACTCCCCGCCCTCCACTACCCCCTTTCACCACTTGCCTAATACATTGACCCACTCCTCTTCTCGTAAACCATTCACTCCCTGGCTTACACCTTCATATTGAGCTACCTCATCCCTTTGTGTGTACTTTACCTCGATAAACTTATTTCAATTCATTTACACCTTTATCCCTCTATCCAGCCCGTTCTCGCCAGCCTTCCCAACGTCAAGAAACTGTCGCTCTATCACCGTCTCGCTCGTCTCTAGACGCTGCTCGTGTCACAGAGGCCACTACCGTCACTAGTGTTTTTTTTTTTGAGGGGGGGGGGGGCGGGGGGAGTCTAGAGAAGGGACGAAAGTATATAAAAATCTTGCTACAATGTACCCATTCACCTTACATGGTATGTTAGATTAAGGACCTGTCCGGAACGTTATGCGTGTTAGTAGTGTTGCACGAATGTCAAAATACCAATCTTATGTAATTTAACAAACCCATTATACCTTCTTGCAAATAAATTTATTTATTATTATTATTATTATTATTATTATTTATTATTATTATTATTATTATTATTATTATTATTAATACCTATTATTGTTACTTATTAGTTAGTACATAAATATTGTTTGCAAATGACCTTCAGCTCTTTGGTCCCCACCTCTCATCTTCAATTGACTGGTGTACAGATTCCCAATATATTGGTCATGTCTTCATTTGAAGTTTTAACTTATCTAATATACTGGCTATAAAACTGACCATATTCTTTATATTGTCTGTGCGACTATTCCACGTGTCCCTGTCTTCGTGTACCACCCATTCTAAATAGTCTGTCCTTGCGTCTGTCTCTCACTGTTCTCATAATTTTGTATGTCGTGATCATGTTCCTATGTTTCTTCTCTTCTGGTAGAGTTTGATTCCTTTTGTCCTCGTAATTAATCCCTCTCAGCTCTGGGACATTGTGGTCGGTAACCTCTGGACTTTCTCCATGTGCTTTGTGTCTTCATCGACATAACGACTCCAGACTGGTGCTGCATATTCCGTAACTGGTCTGACATATATGGCATACAAGGTGTTGAATGACCCGCAGTTCAGATTCCTAAAGCAGTTTGTATGTTGGCCAACTTTGGTATATGTGTGTGTGTGGTATATATATATATATATATATATATATATATATATATATATATATATATATATATATATATATATATATATATATATATATATATATATATATATATATATATATATATATATATATATAATGTGTTATAGGCTTCTAGTGACAGGTCCGGTGTGCGTCCTGGAGTAAGAACAAGCAAGCAAGCATTGTGTTTATGCATGTCACTTGGGTATGAAACAAAATAAAAAAAACTCTGCAATGAAACTAGAAAAATATTAAGAGCGCTTTCGTCACGACGATCATCATCATCAGGGCAATAGATATTTTGTTTAAGCTTAGGTACATAGTTGTGCTGATATCATAGTCTATATGAGGGGGATTACAGTGTTGGTCAAGAGCTACCTGTATCTCTTAATATCTCCATTTTGCAAGATGGTTGGTCATACATGAATTCCGGAGGCCCGGGAGGGGCGGGGTACAGGGAAAACTCTGGGGCCTGAGAAGTGCGGAGTTGCACGGGAGAGCCTAGGGCCCGCTAAAGATGGGGTTCAGGACCAGACTCCGGCGTCTGGAAGGGCGGGAATCATGGGAGACCGTACTCTTCACCTGGGAAAACGGGCATTCTTGTATGTTTCATTCTTCATTCGTATGTTTAAACAGTGCAGTACATATTTGGCGAGTTAAAATACTATGTTTATGTATTTATCAAAGTGTTTGCTAGTATGCTTATGCAGGGGAAATAGTTGGGTTTAGCAGTAAATAGGTACCTGGGAGTTAGTTAGCTGTTACGGGCTGCTTCCTGGGGGTGGAGGCCTGGTCGAGGACCGGGCCGCGGGGACACTAAAGCCCCGAAATCGTCTCAAGATAACCTCAAGATAAGATACATACTGTAGCCCCATGCAAAACCAAGAAACTTCGTAATCAATTAATGTATAAATAGACCTGAATTTATGAATTTCACACCTGTTATTTTGGAGAGTGGTTTTTGTCAGGTATAGTATAGCCTAATGTTGTACCAACACGTCATGTGGTTGGACCTCCCTTGTGCTGGTGTTAATTAATTAATTAATTAATAACTAGACAACGTTATTTTAGTCTATTTTGACATAATTTTCAACATGTCGGGGCATCTTGTGATGACGTGACGTCCACCTGGGCGTTCACAATTGTTTCCTATTGTGATAAAACCGCTGGACATATTTTCCTTGTTTCATTTAGCCCTCCCCCGAGGGCGGGGAAGGGGGGGGGGGGGGGAAGGATATAGTGAAGATGCACAAGTAGTTATGTTCTCTGTTAGTCATGAATTAGGATCCATGTTCTATAGCCATATGCATACGTTACCAAAGGTTGTTAGTTTCAGGCTAATAGTTCAAGGCACCAAGGTTGGTGTGTGAAGTCGGGTGGTGAGCGGTCGACCTGATTACCAGCCTTCCCAGTGAGTGTGAACAATATGGTGTGTGTGTGTGGGGGTGGGGACGAGTAGGGTCACAGTAATATTGTTGAGAGAAGAGTGCCAGGGTGGAGGAGCAACCTGTCCTCTTGAATAATACATCGCGTTTTGACGTATAAATCCCCTAATGCCTAAAAACTGACGTACAAGAAATCATTGCGAGTCGCAAAATTAGTACAATGTCCCGTATTCTATTCGTATATCCTCGGTTAGGTTAGGTTCGGGCAATTTAGTAAATCAGTTTACTGGCGTGAACGCTCAGGATGACGGGCTGGGAGGAGTGTGGGTAAATGTTGCGACAGCCTCTTGAGTCAGTCAATACAGACTCAACATTTACTCAAGTTCTCAGCCCACAGAATATTTTGAACAGCAAATGCTTGTGTGACCACTGTTGTTTGTTTGATCCTTTTTCGCTTTTGAGATCACCAGCAAATAATGATCCAGTAAAAATAAACAAATTACCAATAAAATAGTTGTCCTCGGGAACAACATTTGGGCTCACTTTTGATGTGCATTGCAATATTAGCACTGTCTGGCGCTCACTCAC